ACTATATATATATAGTCCCTGACCCCTTCCTCTTTGGCACTGTCCCCCAACAACTGTGACATAAACATGCTCTCTCCACTATGCTTTTCTACCATGACATCCCTGCCTTTCAGCCATGTGACCATGGATTGAATCCCCTGAAACCATCAGCCAAATTTCACTTCATGTTTTTTAAGTGTCAGTGTCCAGTGCTGTGCCCCAGCTCCTACCACAATGGGTAAGGATGTACGTGCTAATCTGCAGCTGCCTGTTGCACTTAATACAATGGATTCAGGATCTTCCTGTGACAGCACACATGGGTCTAGCTTCATTATGTAACTACTCTCTAGAATCCTTTGTTAGGAAGGAACACTAAACAACCCACCCTCCATCAGGGTGCCTCTGTCTCTGCCAGCAAGAGTATGGTTGGCCTCTTATTCATTCTGAATAAGCAACCTCTCTTGAACACTTGAGGATCCCAATGCTCCCTGAGCCTGCTGCAAGGCATTCAAGAGCCATAAATAATCAAAATGTTCTCCTAGTGGATCCACAAATTGTTCTCTACTTGTTATAATTAATAGAACTAAAATCAGCATCTTAGAACATGAATTCTTGTGCAAATCTATGTCTTTTCTTCTAAGAGGGTAGCAATATAAACATGCAGTTGAAGTGGAATGATGTGAGTATACCAAGTTTTCATAAATATTGCCAAAAATTCCTTCAAATAATGTTAAGCTATTTTATATTTTATTAAAAATCACAGGTCATATTAATTTTTATAATATCAACAGAGCATTTCCCATTTGATGTTGAGGAGCAAAATATTCTCTAGAACTGTCCAGGAGGCTGAAAATTAAAGCACGCAGGAAATCCATAGCAAGAGATGGGCTCAGGGAGGATCCAGAGTACAGTTGTGCCTGGCATCTATGAGAGAGCTGTAGCGATCACTTTTCCATTGTGGGGACAATACCCAATAGCCACAATTTGAAGTGGGAGAGGTCTAATTTAGCTCACAGCTTTCAGAAGATTCATTCCACGGTTGGTTGGCTCCAAGTGCAGGGGAAAACTTTTCACTCTAGTAGCAGACAGGAATGGGGGGAGGGAGAGGGAGAGAAGAGAGGGAGGGAGGGAGAGAGAGATAGCCTGAGACAGAGATTCACCCTCTAAATTTGCACTCCCAAGGACATACCCCTTTCTACCACTGGTGAAAGCACTGGTGATCAGTGCACACCCATGATCCAACGACCTTCCACAAACCCCACCTCTGAGGACATGAGACTGAGGACAATCTAGACCTAAGCCATAACAAGACCACATGGAGATCAGTTCAGAGAGTCCCCATCCAGCTGTCACTCACAGCTCTTGACACAGAGTTAGCACAGAGAGGAGCTGAGGGACAGGAGGAGCGGA